TGCACAATAGTTATCAAGTGGCAAAGGCTGCTACACTATTACGTGCATCATCGTTACGAAGCGCTAGCATTGTAAGGGGTGTGTACTTTAATGTCGCTGGTTGGTAAGTAACTCTAGCTCCGCACAACGAATGCTACAAAATCCGCTCTGAATAGATAGGTCGTCGGTTTATTGCAATACATAGAGACCCAGCCCTGGCAGGGTATCCACATATTTTGGTTGTTCAGGAGTATTCAAGTTGTACAAGCTTTGGTGAGAAAATTTTCTATGAAAAGACAACCCAAAAAAGTATACTAATTTCGGCGTTTCAGTATTTATTTGACAAGACTGGTCAGTTTCAGCATACATTACCAAGTTCGTTAATGATTTCTGAATAAGTTGTCCTGATTATCGATCGTTCATATTATCTCTCACTATATAGCATTCCTAATCCGGAACATGTTGCATCATTCATATACATCTGTCAATCCATGCGCTGTAGCTTCATCACTCTATACTGATGACATTCTGCTTGTGCCATTTACAGGGTAGGGCGTGCCGTGGTGACGGTGGCCATTGGATCAATCGTATTGGCCAATCAGTTCAACTGGAATCCCAACCACTCGGTTGTACCAGTCTGAACACGAATATACACAGCACAAATTCACCAATCAACACTGGGAAAGTTTGGTTCAGCTACAATTCACCAATTAACAATGGGGAAATTTGGTTCAGCTACGTACGTGCACGTCCATGAGAGCAATATCTATTGTGTGCACGAGTGAATTGTGTTATGTGGTGTGGGAGTGGCGTAGCGGTCGCAGACGATAACTGCGCTTCTTGCCTACCGTGCGGAGATCATGGGTGGACCATACCTCACGAGAGGGTACTCAGGCGAGAATATGCCACGCTGACGTCTCACTGCTTACACGAATGTCATACAGCTGCCTTTCCAATAGCAGGCTACAAGCACCCTGAGCTTACAAGCTGATCCTCGACGGGGTTCGTACCGAAATGACAATTTCTGTGGGCTCCAGTCAATAGACAAATACGGGTACTTTTCAAATACACGAGTGTACACTACACCTGCACCAGCGATTCTGGAGCGTTGGAACCTACCAGACTATAATCACCAGAGCTTTAGCGGCACTGTCTCTGTGCTGGAACGCGAACTTCACATCTACATTTACGAGTCCCCGGGTGTAACTATACACATCGTTCCCTGCGATTTGTATGCGATGTTCGTAGCGAAAGACAGTTCTGCCTAACAGGAGTGAAGCACGGCTCGGGTGTTGTCGATGGGTGGCGGCCGTCAAGCCCCACTCTAATGGCAGCCAGAAGGCAGACTCACTAGGGACCACAGGATCAGCGTGACAATCCCAGAATCCAATACTAAGAAGTCGATTGGATTATGAGGACGAAAAAGACAAAGCCAGGAAGTGCCGATAGACATACACTTGTGAACACCTGTGGAGAATCGGCTGTGAGTATTGGGCTGCTATCAGGCCTCTGGCCAAGTCGGTGTTCATGTAAGCCACTCTACCGTAGACACTTGAGTGCTATTGATTGCGCCTACCAATCGGAGAGCACCACTTGTAGGTACAGTATCTCGATGTCAAACAGGAAACTGCCCGCCTTCCGGGCAACCGCTACTCTGTCGAGGTCATTGGAAACACTCTCTGTGGCTTATATATGGATACGACCCTTTCAGTTAGGGGTGTAGCATTGCACACACCAGCGCCTGCGTTGGTCCTGAGCGGTAGATCCGGGTGACCACCGCAGGATTGCGACGAATCATATGCGTATATTTTGAAGAAGGATGTTAATTGTTCGCATCCCATGACTGAGATTTATTGGGTGCACTGAAGCCCAGCATCGCAACTGATGCTCATAATCATGTCTGCTACCACATCGTATAGATCGTGTGGTGTCCATAGTAGTGGACCAGGACAATACATAGACTGACTAACCAGGACTCTATATAAAATAACCTCATATGCCTCATGCTTCCAATAGGCTGGGGTCAAATCACACAAAATCGTATGCAGGGGCGTATAATGAGAAAATATGCAGGCTTGTGTAGTTTGTGTCAACTTTAACGAACCAGAGTGCTACAGCAATATATGTAGTATGGCTTAGTTTGTGTCAACTTTAACGAACCAGAGTGCTACAGCAATAGATGTAGTATGGCTTAGTTTGTGTCAACTTTAACGAACCAGAGTGTCACAGCAATATATAAACTATGGCTTAGTTTGTGTCAACTTTGATGAACTAGAGTGCCACAGCAATATATAAACTATGGCTTAGTTTGTGTCAACTTTGATGAACCAGAGTGCTACAGCAATATATTTACTATGGCTTGTACTTTATACGATATTGAAAGAGCCAGTTCTCTTTAGGGACGCACTGATAGGCCACAAGCTCCTACGTATTCGCCTTGTTGACCATTGCGACGTGTGTGCAGCTATGTGCACTACGGTGTCGTTTGTGCTTGTGGACAGTCGCGTATGGTTTTGGTACCCTTTGTCCTGATAGCTAACCATTTGGGTTTCAGATATTTCCGCACAGCTGAGAAGGTCACGATTTGAATTCTAGGTGCAGCTGCATGCTACGGCTACCAAACATGTGAGGGGGCGCCAACGGCACTCGCACACGTCACACCCAACATGTATGTTTATTTTAACTATGATCTAATGGACAACCCGCTTGCGTTGAGAAGAAGATCATCTATTGTCAACCAATACGGCTGTGGTGAGATAGTTTTATATCGCAACTGCCATACGAGGTCTCAGCATCGACTCGCCCACAGACACAGAAATGGAAACAATACACTTCACTGGGTACAGCAACACTACGGTGGTTCTCAGCCTACAGGGGGACTTGAGAGGGAGAGCTCGGTCCCTACAGATATACAGATATAGCTATAGCTCAGGACAGATACAGTTGCAACCAGTGTTTCCGCCCGCACAGGAAGTAGCAATTGGGCGGATGCCGTGCCGGTGGTCTAGGTGTGCGAGTACAGGCGAACCGCAGCCTGGCAGCTACATAGGAATGTCCCCACAGGACGTTGGAAACTCAGTGTTACAGTGACATGCGTGCGAATGGGGCAAGCAGTGGGTTTGGATCAATTCTGAAGTCAAGCTTAGTGAAGCAGGCGGCCTCCATGTAATACCACCGATTGTGAACAGGTCCCTGGTACGCAACCCAAACACGAGTCCCTATTCTGTGGTCTACGCAAGTAGAGTCTCACTTGGTGTGCTAGCACAGTTCAGACGGTACAATTCTCAAGTACATCCACAGTGTGCGGGGTTATTTAATTCCATCTTTAGGTTAAATGGGTCGTCTCGTCTAAGTTTGTTCAATCCTGTCCGTTGCCGTATCGCCCGTTCGCTCATTCTTAGCCCCTATTGGATGCGACTACTCATGCTTTACCACGGTCGGTGTTGTGGGGATGGTTTTCTCATACATCGCTCCCAACCTTTGTGCACAGTAGAGCCACACCACCGTGAACCCGAACGACACCATCGAGCCCTGAACAGAGAACGGACCAGTATATTGTGGTACGTACGGTGGGAAAACGTTAATTAGTATTCGCATGCGACGGGGTCAGCGCATTGTGGATCACACGGTTGGTATAGATAAAGTAGTATGGGCATACAAAGCATGGTATGCGGTTGTAGATACAAAGCATGGTATTCTGCTTTGATTGGTGTACATGACTGAATGGATTTCCCTTCGCTTGAGAGACAGAGGTAACGGAATCTTCTACAACCGCTCACAGGCAGGCTGGCACGTACGTCCAGCATAAAGTACGAGGACAGATATTATCTCTAAAATACGTTTATTGGCGATTGACACTACACTGAGAAGTAAAAATGCAGTAAACACAGAACAACACATAAAGGTATAAATGTACTAATAGTATAAATAATGTATATATATATATATATATATAGCATGTATACATATACATATACATATACATACATACATACACACACACACAAACACACACACACACACATATATATATATTTATATTTATATATGTATATACATACATACATACATCATACATACATATACATATATACATACATACTTGACGAAATCTACGAGGTTATATGCATACAATCACACCTGAGTCATCAGCGCATCGATATTATGACGGAAGGCATTGTTAACCATCGATCCGCCAGCCTTGGCCCCTCTAGTACCGAACATTTCGATCCAGCTCTTTGCTTTAAATCGGGTGTCCTGTAAATAGTTCGGAATATTGTGGAGTAGGATTGGCATTTATAGCTTGCCGCTGTAGTGTGAAAAGGGTGCAGTTGACGAACGAGGCGGCCTAAGTGTGAGCAATGGTCCGCAGCAAAAAAAGGTTCAAATTATAACCCAAAAGGATGTACAAGGCAACCTGAAAGAATATACAAAGTAACCTAAAAGGATTTACAAAGTAACCTAAAAGGAATAAAAGGTGAACGAATAGTCGACTCTGTGGGGACTTGCAATCGGCAGAACCGGTACCTTACAAGGTGGCCGATATGAAGCAAGGAGGGATGGCTAACGTACTAACCTATCCTAGATAAGCAAGTTTACACCTACGTCCATCTAGTTCCATGCCGTGTCTCGCTGGTAGTAGGGAACGCCAGGGCTGGTAGTAGAAGACACCATACCCGTATAGGATATGTGTAGCAAACAGTATTTGTATACAATATGCGAGGTGCACAATACGTGTTAGCTGGCATACACTACAGGTACACATGAGTGGTCGAATCCGAACCTTCGCATGTGCCGCACATGCTCGGATGGTTCCTTTTTGTTTACCTTGGTTTGGCCACTTACCATGTCACATCTCCGTAGGGGATAGCTAGCGCTCAACCCGTTAGCAGGGTGAACGCAAACGCAACACAGGGGCATATGCACGCAATGTACCTATCAATTCGCCCAGAAGGGCTTTCAATGTAGGCACCACACACATACCGTTGAGGTGTGTGTATAGGTGACCTCTATACACGGCTTGTTCAAGGAGTAGCCAAGAGCCTTCACAGCAACGATCCTGCAAGGGAAACAACGACAGCCATGAGAAAGCCAATACAACACAGTACGTCCATCCAGCTGTGCGAAAACTGTACATTTATTACGGGAACTTTACATAGCAGTGTATATGCCAGACATAAACAAGGTCATGCACGGTCACGTACAAATGGAGTCTGACTGAGTAGCCATGGGTGGGTGTCCGCAGACCATATAACAGTAGTCACTGAGCTGAAATGGCGTTTACCTTGGACGTTACACTCGGTGTGTGCAATAATACTAACTTAATAGAAACACAAGGCACACACAAACAAAGTCAATAAACCGGGGTGGAGACAGTGGAAAAACAGTTATTCAAGTTCCGCATGGGCACATACCCAGAGAACGCCATCCACACTGAAGGGTAGACATAAACAGCGGAGATAAGACCAAGAATCAACGACGGTATGCTCACCAGGCATGTTAGAAGGCCCAGTCGCCTAAGGGTCAAAAATGAAGCATACACACAGTGAGTGGGAAATCCTACGGAACTAAAGTATGCTCACCAGGCATGTTAGAAGGCCCAGTGGCCTGAGGGTAAAAAAAGGAAGCATACACACAGTGAGTGGGAAACCCTACGGAACTAAAGTATGCTCACCAGGCATGTTAGAAGGCCTAGTGGCCTGAGGGTCAAAAATGAAGCATAGACACAGTGAGTGGGAAGCCCTACAGAACTAAACCCTGTGGATTTGGAGTATCCGCCACATGACTACCAACTCACTGAAATATTGCTGATGACTAGTATCAGGAATATATAGAAATCAGACTTGCACCAGAAACTCAGGAACCGTAAGACAAGCACGGGTATCGAGACTTGGTGCACAATGGGGAGACGTGCACGGTACATACTCTAGTAAGAACTTTGTACATACTCTAGTTAGAAATTTGTACATACTCTAGTTAGAACTTGGTACCTACTCTAGTAAGAACTTTGTTCTTACTCTAGTTAGAACTCGGTACTTACTCTAGTAAGAACTTTGTACATACTCTAGTTAGAACTTGGTACTTACTCTAGTAAGAACATTGAACATACTCTAGTTAGAACTAGTTAGAACTTTGTACTTACTCTTAGTTAGAACTTGGTACTTACTCTAGTAAGAACTTTGTACATACTCCAGTAAGAACTTGGTACTTACTCTAGTAAGAACTTTGTACATACTCTAGTTAGAACTTTGTACTTACTCTAGTAAGAACTTTGTACATACTCTAGTTAGAACTTGGTACTTACTCTAGTAAGAACTTTGTACATACTCTAGTTAGAACTTGGAACTTACTCTAGTAAGAACTTTGTACATACTCTAGTTAGAACTTTGTATTTACTCCAGTAAGAACTTTGTACTTACTCTAGTAAGAACTTTATACTTACTCTAGTAAGAACTTTGTGCTTACTCTAGTAAGAACTTTGTACTTACTCTAGTTAGAACTTGGTACTTACTCTAGTAAGAACCTTGTACTTACTCTAGTAAGAACTTGGTACCCAGGATGGCAAAGATCAGTGACACGGTGTTGGACGCTATGCCGAATGTACCCATGAACGCCTTGAACTCCTCTTTGGTCTCGAATTGCTCTGTGTTTGGTAGGTAAGTTGGGCAGCGATAAGCAGTGTTCGACAATCTGGATTATGGAATGGGGTTCCGGATATGAACTGCTGTCAGTCAGATATACTACCTACTAGCAGCAAAATTGGGTGGTAGTGTACTTTACTTGTATCTGTGGTAGTGTAGTTGTATCTGTGGCAGTGTAGTTGTATCTGTGGTTGTGTAGTTGTATCTGTGGTAGTGTAGTTGTATCTGTGGTAGTGTAGTTGTATCTGTGCTAGTGTAGTTGTATCTGTGGTAATGTAGTTGTATCTGTGGTAATGTAGTTGTATCTGTGGTAGTGTAGTTGTATCTGTGGCAGTGTACTTGTATCTGTGGTAGTGTACTTGTATCTGTGGTAGTGCACTTGTATCTGTGGTAGTGTTCTTGTATCTGTGGTTGTGCAGTTGTATGTATATCATTGCCTTGTAAAGAACTATGTGCAGCTCACCAACCACAAGCGCAAGGTGTATAGGAAGTTTGACAGATAGTGGACAGACCGAAGTGCACCGGTATCTGAAAGCGGGACACCCGGGTACCCGCGATACATCCGAGTTCCACGACCAGAGTATACGTCGATGTTACCGAGCACACAGACGAAACATCATACTAATGAGTTTTAAGGCTAACTCTACTATGGATCCCTAAGACTGCCATGAATGCTCTATCGTTGCGCGTGTACACCGTTTAGAACGCTTTGGTCAGTTACGTCCTTCCCTATTAAACACACATACACAAACGGACAGGCACGATTCATACATATACATATACATGCCCTAAGACAACCACGAATGCTCTATCTACAACGCTTTGGTCAGTTACAACCTTCCCTATTAAACATACATACACAAACGGACAGGCACGATTCATACATATACATATACATGCCCTGAGACAACCACGAATGTTCTATCTACAACGCTTTGGTCGGTTATCACCTTCTCCATTTAACATATATACACATACAGACAGGTACGATACATACATATACATTTACACGTCCTAAGACAGCCACGAATGCTCTATCTAGAACGCTTTGGTCAGTTATAACCTTCTCCATTCAACATATATACACATACAGACAGGCACGATACATACATACACATACACAAATACATATACATATACATATGCACGATACATACATACACATATACATATACATATACATATGCACGATACATACATATACATATACATATATATGTGCAAGGGCGCCGTTATCCGGCAGTGCTGGGCGTCGCAGGCCATGCGATTCGCGGACTTACCATTGGCCAGGACTTTCATCTGGAAATCCATGATGGTGAAGATCACCTCGGTGAAGGTAGAGACCACCGTAATCGCCATGACGTATCTGTGCGTACAGGACAGGTGTGTTGCGTGGCTATTAATAAACGGATGTGTTTTTACTTTGCATGGTGTACTGAGACGAGATACAGACGGTATGATGTACCTTATGTACCAGTCGGCGTGGAACGTCTGTCTTCCGATTATAGCGTGCTGTATATGTGCACATATACACAAATCCACATATATCTGTATACATATAATATCCTTGGTAGCGGTATGTAGCGGCACTGTCAGGCATATGTACATACTTATAGGCATACACGTGAGCGAACGATCGGACGCGCACTTGCACCTATGAGAACTCCCATAAACACATACACATGTGACTGAAACTTACTCCTAGCCCCGAACAAGGCCCTGGACAAATCCGTCCAGGTGTATCTACTAGAGGCGCACACGGGTATAGTCACAGATACCGAATACGTTAATAAAAAACAACGTGGCACGTAAAACCATGGGCGGACACAGAACATCGCATAGACCATACGGGTTTGAACGAGTGGGTGTCTAAAGAATGTGCACCAAGCTACATATATTCAAAACGTATACCAAGCGCAGCCACACCACCACCCAAAAGTATATATATACCCAGTGATATATACTTCTGCACACACGAGCATGTGGTCGTGTATGATCATCAACCAACAAGCAGTCGCCAGCGGACCAACTGGTTGCACTAAGTAATTTGCCTATTGCAGCTTACACACACCGGTACAAGATCCTCCGTAGCTGGGACTGGCTGAGCGCACGCTCATGTACAAGTGCACTATACAACAATGGGTATTCACAGACCAATCTGTATAGGGCTACGGTTCAGCCGTACACCCCACTACTGGCACACCCGGCGCACCGGCAAACCGTTCACAGTACTATACGAAAGGGCATACAACACACACTCGGAGTTCGTACGCGTACGTTTCCAGACCCTGACGAGCGTTGGCATGCAACAATACAATACACACCACAATAGCCAAGACCATTGACACTCAACCGGCAGTTGGGTTGCCACTTGAGGTAGGTATGCTGGGAACATGTGATATCACTGATGAGATACTAGAGATAGGCGGTTGATGGACTATACAGTTGCAGACCAACAACACAACAGCGGAGGCCCATGTAGCGTATGCCGCAGCACTTGTATTGGCGTGCGTGCACTTTAGGTGAGACAAAAGATAGTTTTGAGACAAGTGACGAGAGGAATGCCATCACAAGGCAGTTGCCGTGACAAATATGAACGCATTCATTAACACACACATGTATGTGTGCCCACTTATACATACACGCATTATACAAGTATGTATATATGAACGCACTCATTAACACACACATGTATGTGTGCCCACATATACATACACGCATTATACAAGTATGTACATATGAACGCACTCATTAACACACACATGCATGTGTGCGCCCATATACACATACAAGCATGTATACAAATACGTATTTCGACGTATACAAGCACAACACCACATGCCGCTTTCCCGTAACTCACTCACCTGTCCGTTGCGATCAGTCGCAGTCCTTCGAATAGCCCAGTGGCCTCTTTTTTGTCACCGCTCTTTGGTTCGCGAATCTCCTCTGTCATATGTCACGCACAACACACCCACCCACACACACACAGTGTTTAGTTTCGTACCATACAAGCAAGCAATAGTCGCTGTACCATGCAAGCAAGGAATTATCGCTGCTACAGTGGTGAGTACAACTAGCGGCCTGGCGATAGTCCTGAGTGTGGTTGCTAATAGAGGTGCCAGAGTCACGAGGATATAGGCCGTCAAACTGGACGTGTCAGATTAATCTACAAGTACACAGAGTTTCGACCACCGCTTGGCTATAGCACATGTGCAAAACCATGACAGCCCTACGGAATATTCGGGTTTAGGGTTTAATTTAACCAACAGTTCACATCAGCATAAGCTCATCGAACACTGTGTGTACCACACACAACCCAACGTAACACTAGTCCACATAGTCTCAATGCATTTCGCAGTCACAGTATACGTGATTGAGGGCAACAATCGAGCCAGATAGATGCCCCGAGCAACATTGCAAATACAAGGTACACACACATAGCAGGACGCCGGCAACTGAACAAGACACCAACAGCTGAATACAGTTGGTGGTTGTATACAGTGGAGGAGTGATGTCCCTGCCAATTGCGTTGGACCTAAGCCCAACCCGACTGACACACCTTTAGCGTCGACATGTCCGAGCAGAGCGAAGTAGACGAGCACGGCATTAGCAACCACACTCAGGCCTTGTATGTAGAACCTGTATATGCAGTTGAATGCATGCGTGGAGAAATGGGTACTTAAGTATAACATTGGTGGGGCATAGATCAATACGATATCATATAACCGAAATGCAATTCAGCTACGCACGTGTGAGCTACAGGCAGCAGAGAATTAATCAATTGGTTTGGGTGGCGCCTCTCACTATGGAATGGAACCTAATTGGCCGTAGTGATTAACCCCCCCCCCCGGAATATTTTGTGTGAAAAGTGCACCAATCGAAACAGTTCTCATCATAGGAACAAAACTAGATGCGTGTGTTTATGACGCACACGGCTTGGAAATCAACAACCAACAACCTCGATGGCTTCAGGTATATGGAGCCGAGGCATTGGCTACAGTACTAGAACATAGAAGACCAACACCTCATTGCAAACTCAGTATCTCCTAGGCCACAAACCGAGACACCTGCCGATAAAGCAGCAGCAACATGCACGCCGAGCGCAATAGGATACACAGGCATGGAGTTGAAGATAACACACCCCGAACCACAAGAGCATACATAAATTCGTCAAACGACATGTACCACTAATATTCACATACATATAAACGGGATGCAACCAGGGAATCGCGTATGAGGCTACAGCTTGTACACCTCAATTTCGAGTGACAAAAACGGATTGAAATAACTGACACACACTAAATCACAAGGATACGCATATATTCTCTCAAACGATACCTATCACAAACATTCACACACATAAACGGGATGCAACCAGAGAATGCAAGTATGGCGCTGTAACCTGCGCACCTCCATTACGAGTGAAATAAAAAACCCGGTTTTAATAACTCACGAGTAGCGGCACTTCATTGCACAGGTCCATGTGGAGATATAAAGAAACAACACAAACCACATACTGATTGGAGAAGGACACATTCTTCGTCTCCACAGCGATGAGCGAACCGAGAATAGCCCCCACCTGCATGGAGATGTTCAGGTTGCGCAGAACTCGCACCATGTTCTCACTTTTGTTAGTGCGGTTCACTGTGGCGATGGCCGTCTGTGTGGGATACAGCGGCGAAGACTGAGAAAGTCTGTACCGGGCGGCACAGAAGAAGAATGTGGGGCTCTGAG